AAAAAATAGGGAACAGGGAAAATGACCTTCTGAAACCCAATAGCACCATGTCCTGAGCAATTCCAGCCTGAGGGACAGGTTTCCTTCTGATGATCTGTAGGGTCTTAGGGGTTTGCACCTGAAGCCAGAAAGCCTTTTGGCCAGACATATGAAACGCGAGTCTGATGCTGGGATGTAACTCCCAACGTTCATTTAGGAGATGACTGAATACATGCTTAGGCACGTGCCACTGAATTCCTACAGTATGTGCAGTCAAGTACAAGCTTGTGCATCAAGTACAGGTTTCCCTTACAGAAACCTGGGCTTCAGCATGTTTCAGATGTTATTTCTTTTGAATAAACAAATAGCAAATAGAGTTATAATAACTGTTGGGGTTTTTTAATTAAACTAAGATAATTGGGCAAAAATAAAAATTTGGGAATGCTCAAGCTCTTCTATGAAGAAAAATTTCTCTTAGCTTAACTGACAGCTTATTTATCTGGAAATAGGTGAGTGCTACCTATCTCTGGGAGTCTCCAGTCTCCAGTATGACTTAAACATACACTGAAACATAACTGATAACTGCCTAAGGCAACTTCCTAAAAGGGCTTAGAACAGTGGAGCAGCCCATGAAGCAGCAGTTTATTGCCTTACAGGACACGCTTCCCAGTTTGCTTTTGCCTGCAGCACCCTCCAGTGGCTGGGCCCCCCGCCCCCGGTGGCTGACCCCGCCGATGGGCTTCTCTACAATTTGGCACCCCAAAACTCAACCGCGGGTGAACGCGCTCCGGCTGCCGTTAGGTTCAACCCAGCAGGAGCGCTTAATCTTGTGGTGAAATTTAAATTTGGTGCATAATTAATGCATAAATTTGGAGCACAAATAATACTTTTATAAAATACTTGAAACTGCAACTTTGTGCCTGCACGTATATATGTATTTATACAAACACACACATTTATATCAAAGTGTTATTAGAAGGATGCTGAGAAGTTAAGCAGTCATAAAACCAAGAAAAGCCTGAAAAAAGGCACTTGTTGGACCTGGACTGGCCCCCGTGCCGGTGCTGTCTGACGCCACTGTCCTACGTTGCCCCAGCACCCTGTGTTGCTCGCAGCCTGTGATCCCTAGTCCATCCTCCTCCCTTCCTCTCCCATTTCTCCGGAGCACGATCCAGCACATCCCAGGCTGCACCGACTGCCCCGCTGGGAAAGGCCGCGGCACAGCCTCCTCCGCACCGGCTCCTCCCGGCGCTTCAGCCCTTCGCCATAGCTGGGAGACTGTGCCGCAGTGCGATTCCCGCTGCACGCCAGCACTGCCGAAACATGGATGTGTAGGTGTGCCAAGGGCATAATAACGGTATCGCCCTGAAAGCCTCTAATAATAAGCATGCATTAAGATAGATCAACTCAGAGTTCATAGGTTTGGCAACCCCACGCGCGAGCACTTCATTTTTGCTTTAGCAAGTGTCTGAAATGCCTCCACGTAGCAAGGCAGAGCAGTCTGAGACCCGGAGGTTAACCACCCTCCTGCCAACGCTCCTGGAAAGGCTCACGCCACATCTCACATGAAAAAAAGACTTTCTTTTGTAAGTCTACGAAGACTTTTCTTTGTAAGTCTTTCTTCTTGGTTTCAGTTTGCCATCTTTGCAAATCTGTTCTTGTTTTTGAAAAGCCCTCCCATTGTCACACTCATCTCAACCATTTCCTGATTTAAATTATTTCCCTCCTTTGACTTCGTTAAGTTCTTTTTTGGGCTACTAAATGCAGAGATCTCATTGATCTCACTGCCCAGGAAACACCAGCTCCTCAGAGACTGGCGTGACACTGACAGATGTGAAGGATTTGGGCCCCTCTCTAAAGACTAGCAGGGCTGAGATGTGCAACTGCAAGTTTTGAACAAGAGCTGGCATCGTCGAGTCTAACCCTGAGCACAGATTACCTCAGCGAGCACCATGTAAGCCAAATAATAATTTCTAAGACTCCCTGTGTGCATCCCTCTGTATGTAGACATCCTATGTCTGACTGATTTTAAAAGCAGCAATCCTATCTAAAGCAGCAAATCGATAACCTGCAGTCAAACACCTTAAGATCTGAGAGGTGTTCAAACTCAGATTCGATAGACATTCTGCTTAGAAAAACTATTTGGGGAAAAAAAAAAAAGAGAAGAAAACTGATGGGATGAAGTACAGAGAGACAATTCCTCCTTTAAAGCAGAAACAAGTCCTGTGAGAAGTACCAGAGGTAAGAAGTATAATGTTAACGAGTACTGGGACAGCCCCAACAAAACCAAAAAAAGAAATGGCCTCCAAGCACCACCATGAGGGCGCCGCTCTGCCTGTTGGTTTGCCGCTGACTGGGTTATCCTGAGCGTTACCCACGGGAGCGACTGGAAAGCAGGAGTTTTATTCCAGGTTGTTATTTTTTGGAGATTTTTCTCCCTCATTTGGGGAGAGAGAGAAGGGAGTCCAGCGAGCACTAGTCGTTCTGGGCATGACAAACTCTCCCAGGCTGGGGGAGCAGCAATTTCTCATCAACCGTCTAGCTGGTCCCCCATTTAACATCCCTGTATTCTTAAATATTCTTGAAAAAAGACGGCTTCAGGCAGTGCTAGGGTGACTGCTGCTAGTGTCCCCATCGTGTTTACCAGTCAAGTAACTCATTACCAGAGTAAATGAGAAAAAAAGTAAGTGAAACTGTGGATTAAAATACTTTTCTGAATACTGTTTGTCTTTTCAATCCAAAATGAAAATTATTTTCATCTATTGCATTTAAAATATACATTTTTAAAGTAGCATGACTGCTTGCTGTTCATACAAATTTGACAGTGCATTTCATTACCTCCCTAGTACTTTTTTGGTAAGAGTGACCACTGATCTAAAGAAATAAAGTTAGCATTTGTGATTATATCATATTGAAATTCAATACCTCAATTACTAAAGTAAAAGATATAGAGATAAATAAATAATGCTTACATAAGTCTTTGGTCATTTCAAAATTTTCTCTGCATTATCCTCAGAAACATTTTAACTTGAGCAAGAGGGACTAACAGCGACGTAAAGGAAGCTACATAGTATATATAACTATATAATAAATTGGTTTCCCGTTAACCAGTCTTACCTGTCAGGAGCTCTGGTCGTGCTTCGTCCTCGTGCTTCCAAGGGACAGGCAGCTCCCACCTGCATCCTGCGCCTCGGTGACCTCTGTGGCACTGCAGCCGTGGAAAGCTGCCGACGGCAGCTCCTTCTTGTTCTTGCCCTTCCTCCGCAGCCTCGGGGCTGTGCGCCCAGCTCCAGTTCCCATCTGGCGACTCACACGGGTGGGATTTCTTCTGCATTTTCCCTACTTCACTTGTTTTTCTAGAGGATCCATTTTTCCTTCCCGGCCCCTGCGCAGCCTCCTGGGCTGGGCCTCTGCGGTACTTGTGCTCCCTTGCCTCAAGGTGATAAAATCTTCTGTTCCCTTTTGCCACCTCCCCCAGGCCAGAGCGTGCGGATCAGGGATAACGTGTTTTCCATTCACTCTTTTCCAGGTTGTACTTTTTGTTGGGAGAACGTTAAGTCTTTTGTCATCATTTAGGGACAGCAAATTATAAATTATTGTGCCGTTTTTCTCATCGTGCTGTGGGCCATGGCCTACTGAAAACTCCCCCCAAAATTACAACTTGATTTCTCAAAGGGTTCAAACATAGCTTCACGTTTTTCCCTAAAACTGGGCTAGTGGGATATTCAACCAACCATCGGACATACCCTGTGTTATGAAGAAATACCTTGGAACAAAACACTTCATTTTCATTCACATTTATCTTTGTGTGAGTTACTCCTCTGGAACTCTTCCTAAAATCTTCTTTCAAGACAGATTTTTAAATAACTATGAATAACAAATATAAATGCGTGACATATAAAACAGGACACGATCACTTCTACAGAGAAGCAATTTACTACCTGCTTAGCAGGGAACCAGAATATATTCAGTTTATCTGAATTAGTATACTGCTCCTTACGTAAAGCTGAGAGCTATTTCAAGCAGCAGAGCCAGGACTTCCACTGAAAGTTAGCTCAAGCAGCAGAGCCAGGGCTCCGGGAAGGACCCTCGGGCTGGAGGAGAGGGAGGGGGTTTTTGGCTTTCTTCTTTGTCAGCTTGGTTCTAGCTTTTCAAAATGCTCAGTCAGAGGTTTCGGCGGTGCAGACGCCACCTGTGGAGAAATTTCCACATACCCTAGTTCAGCTTCAGTCTGAAAGGGTCCGAAAGATTGCATCTTCCATCACCAGTAGCAAAATATGAGAGATATTTGGGGGTTTTGAAATGGCAATGTCTCTTCTTCCGTCTTGGTAATCAGTGCTGTCTTCCTGTTAGTAACAGTAGAAGCAATTCTAGCTTCCTCAGTAGGCTGAAACAAGAAAAAGATATAAAAATGTGGATCAAAAAAAAAGAATATCTGGGCAAAAATAACATACGTGAAATTTCTGTAGGGTTTATATTTATAACTATCTGTTTGAATTGTACAGCTGACAAAAAAGGATTTGTGTTGCATTCTGTTGCATTTGTGTTGTATTGTGTTGCATGTTGTTGACTTCGATGACTAACAGGGAATGTTCCCCTCAATGCCATCCATGACGAGGTCATTTCTGGAAGCACAAACAGACTGGCATTTTATCTCTTATTTACATGGGAAACAAGGTGGGGCTGGGCAACATCTAGGGCCCTAAGGCATGATGCTGGGAGAAACACACATTTATAAATGACATGTCCCCTCCAAACCATTCTGGTTTCTGAGCCTGAAGACAGCACAAGCTAATGCAAGGGGTTTAATCCAGCTGTGAGCGTGTCAGACCGCCCAGCTGTGTGTGGCGGAGGCGCGGTGGCTTTAGAGATTTCCATTTTGGAGTTATCTGGGGCACCCGGGAGACCCCCCAACACTGCTGAAGCCAAAGCAGCAAAGGGAGGGCTCTGATGCTTTAGAGGAAGAAGAGGGGAGACCAGAGGTGACCTGAGGGCTTACCTTTCGTGTGTGGCCTGAAGGGCTATGACCAGAGAATGAAAGCTAAAGAGAAAAATAAAAACAAAAATAAAAACTGAAAAGGGGAGGGAGGAGAGGAAAAAATGGAAGAGAAGAAAGAGAATAAGAGTTTACAGTGTGTTTAGCTGAGAAATAAGCTGTGGTTACAGACAGAGTGCAACAAAACTCTCAGTTGAAAAGAAATATAAAGTGTGAAGTACGCTGCAAGGGCTCGAGGCTCAGCTCAGCTCAGCCAGAGCCCAGCAACCCTCGGACTGATGAGAGTCGTCTCCTGCCCCAGCGCAGCCCAGCCCAGTCGCAGCCGAGGGCTCAGGAAAAACGGGGAGGAAAACAATTAGCTGAATTCTTCTGATACCTCAAGAAACCCCCCAAACCCACACTGCTAAGGTTGGGGTTTAGTTTCAGGTGAAAGTCCAGCTCAGTGCCTGTTGTACCTGAACAAGTTCTCCCAATGCAATTTCACTAGAAATAGATGGTTTCAGATGAGGGTAATCTTAGGGTAAAATTCAACAGTTATAGCTTGACTGGAGAAAGCTCGATGACATTAACCATGGTGACAGTGACTGCTGTGGCTGCAGGTGAGGAGAGGAGAGGGAGCCTCCTCCTTCCCTCTGGGAAAGGCAGGTCAGTGCAGTTGCATGTGCAAACGCTGGAGACGGGAGGGCAAAAAGATCCCTGGCTCCTTCCCCGGAGCACCTGCGAGACCTCATCTCTCTGCCATCAAGCAGCTCTCCATCACTCCCTTCCCAGGGCAGACGGGCCCCTCCGTCCTTGCCAAGTCCTGTGTTTTGGACTTTACTGAAGGATAACAGAAGGAAAGATTCAATTTAAGCTGGTAACCTTTCCTTCTCAGAGGGACTAATGCAAATGCAAGATGGTTTCCTGGAGCGCTCTGACATTAGCTCACTGCGCTAACAAACACAAACTTTTTACAAGATTGTTTTCTTAGCCAAGGTGAAATGAATATATGGTCATGTGCACATACAATAACTGTTTCATCTGCATTACCTTACCTTTTCCTCTAACTCTTTTATTTGTCTTTTTTGGCCTTCAATTCTTTCTTCTAGCTCTTTAATTCTCTGTCAGATTTCAAATAAAAAAATATTTATTAACCAACCAAATACAGATGTACCCAGAAGATGCATTATTTTTGGAGATATAAATTGTATGTGCTGTGCTTCTAAAAAAAATAAATTGGGTTTTAAGCTGTAGATGAGTCCTCCGTGAATGTCACTATGTGTGACAAATTCATGAAAATCAAAATACCCTGTTTGCAGGGATTATCCAAGGCAAATCAAAATCTGGCTCCGGGACCAGCCATTTCTGGTACAGCTCTATGAGGAGAGGCTGGTGCTCACAAGTTCATTACATTTCCGTCTGAGGGACCGTCCCACCCGCACCTTGCCGTGCCCGCGCACCGGCGCCCACCTGCTGTGCGTGCTGAATGAGCTCCATCCTTTCTCGCAGGATCTGGGCATCCCTCTCCCGGAGCTCGCTCATCACCTGCCGCTTCCACTGCTCTACGGCGCTCTTCAGTTTCTCTTTCTCCTCTTCTGAAAGAAGTTCGGAAATTTTGGCTCCAGCTTCTTGCTGCAGGGCATCATAGAGCATGGCTTCTAATTCCAGAATTTGCTAATCAAAAACAATATAAGGCTGTCAGCTTGACGTTGTCTCTGGTCAGATGAGGATTTTGTGAGGAACTGAAAATCCTACCCCGGTAAGGCAACGGGAGCGGTAGAGGGGTTGTGTGCTGAGCCTCCCGCACAGGACAGTGCGGAAAACTCAGTCCAGGGGGAAAATACTTCAGGCTGCTTTCATCCTGTGGGGCTTTGAGCAGCACTGGAACCGGGACGGCCCCTGGGCCCAGCCTAGTCTGCCTCTCAAGAAATATACGGGTGTCAACTTCTCCTTTCTGGAGATGGGGAGAGGGCCATGGGGAGAAAAGGCAAAAAGAAAAAAAAAAAAAAAAAAAAGTAAAGGGAAAAGGGAGAAAGGAGAAAGGAAAGAGGTTCATAAAAGACTCATTTTGTGAGCTACAGATATTTTTTAAATGCAATGTTCAGTCTCTCAGTTCACCTTTCCCAGCTATTCTGTTCCCAGCAGCAGTGGACACGGCAGCACCAGTTCACACTCCTGCCAGAAAGGAATGACTCCCTGTTGTGTGCTTGCAGCGTTCCGTACCATAACTTAAAATGCCCCGTGTGAAGGTGTTCCCAGCACTTCCTCTGGCAGAGCTGTCAGTCCCAAGAGCTCAAGAAAATGCTCAAGAAAAATATATCTGGTAGCCGGGCTCTGTTCCTGCAGTCTCAGGCTGCAGAGCCCTTACTTCACTACATCAGGAAATGTCTCTTGCACAAAGACGGATGTACCTTCCAGATTTATTGAGATATAGAAGTGTGTAGGAAACGGACTGGCAATGTTTCCCCAAGGGCACCGAGCCTGGTACCCTCCTAGGACAGGTGACCTTGCCAGACAATGTCTTCTGCTTCAAAGTCCAAGATGAATGGACTTCATATAAGCCAAAACCAGGACAAAATCTTTTTCAGCAAGTTTGATATAGAGCAAGAGGCAAAGCAGCAAATGATGGCACCTTTGCACACCCTCTCCAAAGCTGGTGGCGTCTTGCAGAGCTCTCCGTGGCTCCAGGAGAACAGGACTGCTGCAATAGTGCGGCTTGAACCCCGAGCCAGGCTGTTTGAAAATGCCATAGATGTCTGTTGTGATAATTCAGTTCAATTCAAAATCAACAAGTTTTTCCACCTGAGGCTGCTGGTGGTGTTTTCTTATTATGTCTTAGCAGAGTCAGGACAGAAGAATACAAGCATTTACAAGAATAATAACATCATGGCAGGAGTTATGGATACTAATAATAACTGAAAGACAGCAACCATGGTATCTCTGTGGGGAAGATCAGATCAGATCTCATAAGATTCTGCTTTCACTTTTAAAAATAATGCCAACGTTCCCGCTAACTGTAACTGTCTCAACAAAATGCTCTTATTTGAAACACGGATTTCTGTTGGGCCCCAAACCTCGATTATACAGCCGTTGTCCCTCTCTGATGATACTGACTTGTGAAGAAAGAAGAGCGTGGGGAAATTCACGGTCTCCAGACCAGCAGCAGTGTCAGGAGTCTCTGTGTGAGCCAAGTGCTTCTCGGAGCAAAATCCCCCGCCAGCAACCAAAGGGAGTGAAAACCGTGCAAAAAGCTTAGCGGTTACAGCTGGTAATCTTGTTGGCTGTAGTTAGTGGGGGAAGATTAGCGGCTCCTCATCTCAAGGGGCACAAAGGAAACATGAAAGTGAAACAAATTACAGAAATCAGAAGAGCTTTTGCCATTCGAATTTTGGGGCAGAACAAAGCTTTCTTGCTGCTTTCAGCCTGCATTTGTGCCCGGGAGTAAAGCCCATTGCTTCGCCTGGCAACACTCGTGTGATGCATGCAAACAATACAGGAAAATGCAAATAACCCTCAGCGACTTCTGCATGGGCTGCAACACATTCGTTACGCTCGTTCCTTCTCCACAAGCGGCAGAGACAAGGAGCAGGTAGTTGTTGTTGGACCCTTAGGTAAATTTGGGATCCTGGAACTGGAGATTCATCTCATGGATGGAGAGTGAGCAGCTGGCCGTGAGCCGCAGGGGTGCCAAGTCACGTCCTCATCGACAGCCGTGGCTCCGCGTCTGAGCTCTCCTGCAGACTCCATGACGTTACCAGGAGTTTCAAGCGATGCCACACGACTTTTGCCACTCTGCTGCTGTTGCAAGTTTCTGCACGTTTATGGATCTGTTTCAGAACTCGCCCAAGACTGAGATGATCGCCTCTCTGAGGGCTGATCTTTGAAGATGAATCCTACAGGCTCAGCCTTTGGCTGCACCAAACTGCTTCTCCGAACAGCTCAAGGCTGCAGGAGACAATCTGGCGTTAGGGCTGAGACCGCAGGTAAGAGGGGCTTGTGTGCCTTCCAGGGTTTCCACTGCACCTAGACATTGGTTCCAGATATAGCTCAGCGTTTAGCAAAATAGTCTTAAAAATCATCCTTACAGGAACAGAAGGTGTACTGAGTAAAAGCTCCCCCAAATGGTTTGAGATATAAATAGATAATAGGTATCCAGAAAAAGAGGCATAAATACTCATTGCTTCTCAGAAAGTGTACCTGTGCTCAAGATTTAAATGGAACTGAAAGAACGAGATAAATCGATATGAGAATCTATGCATTTATGTCTTCCATGCGTACATATAGGACTTTTCTCTAACTGAAGGAAACAAGACGGCTGATGACTGAAGAGATGGCTGAAATGGGTTAGGCTCAGCTAATGATGAACCTGACCTAAAAGCAGTTTCATTTCAAATTCACAGAATCACATAATACCGCCAGCTGTTTTGATTACAGAGGCTGTAATCTAAGATCTAAGGAAATGTCTAGGTCAAAATCTCTATTTTGGAAGGAAAAGAGAAATTACTGAAAACATCATTTTCTTATCAGTCATTTACCAAAACCTCTGCTAAATTACAATTTGTGTTTAATAAATCAGTATTTAGGTCCTAATCCTGCAAGGACCATGCAAACACAAGGAACTTGGTTCATAAGGAACTCGCTGTTAGCTCAGGGCATAGACGGTTTGTTTAAAACTCAGCCTATTTAGTCCTCGGGTCACTCCGTGAGCAGGGAGTTTTTCTATAGAAAACAGACTACACGTATTACACAAGGTAAGGTAATCAAGATGGCGTAATTCAGTCAAGACTGGTTGTCCTCACCTTGTGAGCTTGGTCCAAGGACTGTTTCCTGAAGTCGAGCTCATCATCCAGGTAGCCCTTCTGCTTGCTGAACAGCTCCTGGGGACACAAGGAAGAGGCAGTCAGGGCAACGGCCGCGGCCCCGGCGCCACTGCTCTTCTCGCTGCCTCTCCTGCCGGCTCCTTCCCCTCCTCTCTCCGTACCTTTTCATTCTCAAGGTCCAGCATCTTCTGCTGCAGCGCAGACTCCGTCACTTCTATCTGCTGTAGCCACTGTGCACAAAAACAGAGACGGGGTGCGTAAGCCTAAAGAGCAGAGGCAGCACGGCTGCGTATTCAGCTTTCACTGTGACTTCAGGGTGTGTCAGCACGCACTGCACGTACTTATTTAAATTCACTAAATAAAAGAGGCAAAATTAACTTTATTATTACATTTTTTCTTTTATATATCTTGGCAATGGAAAAAAGCATTATTTCAAAGCCTAGCCATTTACCTTCTAACAGCATTTTGCTAATTAAGTAACATTTTAAAACAAGCAATGTCTGTCTGTATTGCCTGAATGTTACCTTTATTTTGACAAAAACTAGCGTAAGTGTAATTCCACATAAAGAATCAGGGCATTTTGTGACGAAACTATCATTTACATCACCAGCGTCTTCAAGTGAGCTATTCTGAGAGGGTCGTGACACGCGTTCGCTGATGAGTGATGCAGTTGTTATTACCTTTTCTGCTAACGTGAGAACTGTCCTTGCTTGTATGACAACTACTTGCTCTTCGTTGGTCAGATTCTGCACCAAAAGCAGAATATAATTACAACAAATCCCAGTGTCTTGTTATTAATCCACTACTTGGGCTACTGCTGTGTTAAATAAATATGAAATTAAATATGTTTGAGGAACAATAAACTAAGGCAAAGAAAATTAGTATTGTAATGCAACATTGCTGTAAAAACGATTGTAACTATTCATGATGAATTGCTATCATACATAGAGTCAATTCTTCTCAAATTCCCACATTTACAAAAAAAAAAGCTGTTGACAGTGGATCTATTTTTCCCCAACAGGGAATAAACACACAGTTACACGAGACAAAATCAAGCTTAGCACAACGTGCCATTAAGAAAAGAGATGCAATCTTAAGTCCTCTGGGTTCCCTTATATGCACAGTAGGATAACACACAGTCCTTATTCTGCACAGCCAAAAGTCATCATTTTGCAAAACACTTGTTAAGATGTTAGTTTTTCAACTCATGTTTTTGTTTTAATGAAAATACTGAAACTGTGTTTTGCATTTCTTCCCAAACCTCGGTCTTACTCTGGCCACATCTACACTTGCAAAGTGGACCCTTCTCGTTCGGGACCCGGATCAGCTCAGATCCAGAGCGCCCAGCCTGACCCACTGCTGTCAGGGAGAGAGGACGGGCCGGTCTCCGGGCGTTACCATTCCCACAGGGTAATTAGGAGGTTGGTAAGAAGGGTGACTATGGTGACCTCCAATTTCAGGCACAAGCCTGGGACCAGTGAAGGTGCTATCCGGCAGGGATGGGAGGACACCCATCCCGAGGACCCCTGAAAATTGTCTCTTCCATAAATGTAAGTAATTTTTTTTTAAAACAAGTTATGTTACTTTTAAAAACTGAAACCGTCCACACAGAATATGGACGGTGTTCTTCCCTGTAACTCTTCCCTGCGTTATCCCCTGACCGGACTTCCCTGTCCGTGGGGGAGAGGAGGGCACCGGTGTTCCTCAGCCCCCCGTCCCCAGTGGCCCTGGAGGCTGCACCCCTCTGACCTCTGCTTCTGCTCTCCTCCTCGAGGTGCTCTCTCAAGGGTTTGCCTTACTCAGGGCGATATTTAACTCAAGACAGTTCAGCGGGTAGCAGCTAGAAGCTGCCGGGGGCTTTACAGGAAGGCAAGTGAGAAAATGTGCAGAAGAGGATGGAATCACTTGCACGCAGGCGGGACATGGGTTCGCTTTCCCAGACTCCCCAACAGCCAGACATGACAACATGCACCCACGGGGCAGAGCCTGCCATCGGTGGCTGAGTCTGTGATGTTAAACATGTGAAAACAAGAAAAAAACAAGCGATGATAACAACAGTCTACAGTTATCTTAAAGCTATCTGAGGTGAGAACTGTGAACTCCTCCTTGTGTCACATCTGGAATTAACTTATTGTATGTAATAGGAAAAAAAAAAATCAGGAGGAAATAACATTCTAGACTAGAGATCGTTAATATAAGTAAAGAAGCCAAGAGGAAAAGAAAGGGAATAGAAAACACGAGAAAAGCTATCACTTTTTCTGTTCCTGCTTGTCTCCAAGTTGCCTGTTTGGGACACGGTCCCAAAACACTCTGCATGGGACTAACCTGACATTAATAATGCCACTGAAGACAACGTTAGTGCAGGCATTAACAGATTAATGGGTATTAACTTTCTACACATTAGTAGGGTCAGTCTTAGCTCATTGGTGATTAAGCTATGCATCTTTTTTTTATTCTTTGCACACAAAAGATTTTAGGATTCTTCCTATTTCTGCCAGTGTGAATGTCGTTAACTGCAGCAGTGGTGAAGAGTATTAACTGCTTCAATCTGTTCCAGCTCCTCCACTAGCTCCTGGCTTGATTTGGTGGGGCAGAGCGCCTAGATATCAGAGGCTGGGGATGATGAGACATGATGACCCAACCGGTCTATGCAGGGAGGTGGACAGGAGGTACTTCCAGGCTGCCCCCATGGCCCTGGGGACGGCCTTTTTGCGGGTACCCAAACTGTACAGAGGCACGGGGGAGGGCGGGGGTGGCTCAGGTGAGCGGTGAGAACGCTGGGGACCCTGCTGCAGACCCGATGCCGGCAGCCGGGGGCTCCCCGGGAGGGGCCCCGCCGCGGCCGAGGGCTCCGCGAGGCCTGCTGCTCCCTCTGCCCCTCAGCCATGGGGGCTCTGCGGCTCTGCTGATGGAGGAGAGGACAGGAAAAAACATACAAGGGCATATATACCTTCTGTACACATAACTATAGGTATAATTAATCACTTCCATTTGCTAAAGGAGAAACACTTTCAAGTATCTTATTTGTCTCTTCTTTTCATGCTGCTGTTGTAACTTTTTGTTTAATATCCTGGTTACTATCAAAGGTTTATGGGTTATCAGACAAAACGAAAATACACAGCTGCTAAAATGCAAAAGCAAAGCAAATGCAGAGTAAGCAAATAAACAAACCGTGTGTGAGCAGTGACCAGAAAAAAAAACCCACAAAGTTTCAAAATATTTTCCAAGTCATTGAAAATATAAAAGCAATATTATGGCACCGAGATCCCACATGGCACTGGTCAGAAGGCTATTAACAAAATCTTAAAAAGCCAGAAACGCTTAGCTCGTAGCCCAGTACTGTGACCACAGGGAGGACAGGTTGTGCAGTAGCAAACCAAGAAGGCTTTGCTAACTTAACACGGGGACAAATATTTCCAAAGCATGCACAATTTATTAAAGGAACATACACTTACGGCGTTATCCCCTAAAATGTCCAATTTTTTCATCAGCTCTGCTACTACTATGTCCTAACAAGAGAGAAATGGAAAACCAGGAGTCAGAACAGAGCGTCTGATTTTGTTTAGGGAAAGGAAAGTACGAAACGAGAATCCCTTACTGTTACACCTTCTGCCTCGCAGTAGACTTGGAGAGGGCTTTTTCCCTCTGTAAAAGGACCGTGATGGAAATTGATGGCAGGCGACCGTCGTTCTCTCTCCTGAAATGACAATAATTGCTTGGTTACCTACAAGGGTACGTCACAGATGGCAGCTTCACCACGAACTCGATAAATATGGTTTGAAAAAGGTACACTCTAACTGAACACGTTGCAAAGCAACGCTACCGCAGAGTGGCTTTATTCTGGGTACGCAGCGCACAGGAACCCTTCCTCCTGCACCCCGTAGCCCTTGACACCGGCAGCCAGGAGCAAGAGCCGTTCCTCCGGCCAGCCCCTGTGCTGTTGTGAGGGTACGCAGGGCTGCCGGGGAAGACCTCCACCTCGCTGCAAAGCAGGGCAGACGTACACATTAACGGCGCTAATATTTTCCCACTATGCTTCTTCACTGGGCACTGATTGTGACCACTTACCTGTTATTTTGACTACGTAATATATTTGAACAAAACTATACACATACCTAGTATAGTATACACAGCATTTAAATTTTTCTTGTAAGTAGCTGCTTTGTTAATCTCTGGAGAATTTGGAAAACAGCTTCCGAGAGCTTAGAGATTCTGTTTATACAGGTAATGACAGGGAAAACAGGAGGCTCAGTGGAGTAACCGAGCGGTCTAGGCCGTGGGATACCTTCTCTGCAGGTTTAGCAAAAAGTGAAACACAACGATGATCTTTGGCAATGAAAAAAAAGTTCCTTTCTCTTTTTCTTTCCCACGTATGATCTGTTCTGGTTTTATCTCTTTGCATTTTCAGAACTGATAGAGTAAAGTAAAATGTGTATCTACATCATGAGCCAATCTTCTGGATCTTAAAATGACTTAAGTAGTCAGACTGCCAGAACAAGCTATCAAGAATACCAGTATCGATCCCTGGGTGTTTGCTGGGTTTTTTTCTCTTTTATTAGCACTTTGTACCAAACCCTTTGGTTTCATTCAGTGCAACGCTGCTCTTCAGAGCAAACATGGGCGAGTTCCCCAAGCCGCGGTGCCCCCGGCCGTGGCTCGCGCAGCCCAGGGCAGGTGGGCAGGACCGTGGCTGCTACACGTGCTCACTTCAAGCTCCAAGATCCTGAACTCCAGGAGCTCATTTTGATCCTTAACGTCCTGGACATCATGTTTTAAGCGAGCTTCCTCGGCTTCCATTTGTTTTATCTGCAAAATAAAGCAACACGTGTTAGCGCTGCTGGCAGAGTGTGGCTGGAGACGTGCCGCGCCTTGGCTGTGCCGGGGAAACGCCGGGGTCAGCGCAAGCACCGAGGTCGGAGCCCACCCTCCGCGGTCAGCGGGAGTGGGCACCGCAGCACCAGCGCTGGGGGAGCGCGGGGCTTCTCCCCACAACCGCGTCCTCGCGTGACCTCGCACCGGGACATTTTATGGGCCAATAGGGAATGCCAGAAACCCACTTTTTCTGGAAGGTTTAGAAGGATCTTGTTATTATATGTGAATTATTTCCAGTAGAGCTGTGTGATACAGATTAAAATATTGTACCTTCTGCATTCCTTAAACTACAAATATTATTTGAATAATACAAATGGAAACATTGAACACCTTTTCTACCAGTTCTTGATTTCTTCTATACAATGCTTGCTTCTCCTCAATCCACTTCATGTCCTTGAAAAAGAAATGACCAATATTGTAGGTGAAGCTGGCAATGTTCAGCACAAACACAGTAGCAACTATTTCATAAAGTCATGCATCTAGAGAAGAGGGACAGAATAATACTGCATATGAAATTGTAATTCCATTATTTTCTATGATATAAAAGCTCACCTCTTCTGTCTTATTTTAACAGTCTGTAGTATACAAACGGAACAGAAACACTCCAGTGATTAAAAAACTGCTTTCAGATTAAAGATTGGTTTGCATGAAAAGGAATATTTCTAGCTATGCAGTTACTATTAAATTTCGATTATACTGAATACATTTCTGTATTCTGTATTCTATTTCTGTACACTACGAAAAAGAAACCTTATTTTGAAACTAATTTCTTAGTTGGATGGATACATGAAAGCCACAAAACCCAGAACAGTGTTTATCAGTAAGGTTAACAGTAATAAGAAGTTAAGCTGGAAAGGTAATGATCAAATGACTTAGTATTATTTTAAAGTTCTCAAAAAACATTTTATGTTTCTGGGCTTGGGGTTTTTGGGTTTTGTTTTGGTTTGGTTTTGTTGTTGTTGTTTTTTTCTGGAAAAGTAAGACACGAGCTAGAAGCAGCCTGGGAACATTTCTTCTGTTTCCAGCTGGGGGCTGGATATTTGCAGTCTGCAATATTTCATTCCCAAGGCTACCCCAAGGCTAGAGATGCGCCTGTTTCTTTATCACCTTTGGATGCCAGCGTGCAAGGTGGTTTTAAACTCTGCACTCTTCCAATTTAAGGTGCATTTTCCTGTTAACGCTTTCCTGTGTTGTGCTACTTTATGCACACCTCCGGGCTGTGTAACCCCAGTGCCAGGAGCGACTAGTTCGCCCGAGCCCTGAGGAGGAGGGTGTTGCGTGGTGGAGCAGAGGTGCTTGGCTTGAGGTGCCACCCGCTGCCAGGATGCTCTCCGATTTCGGTGCTGTGGACGTGGGCGCAGGATCCTCCTGCATCCGAGGGACCGCAGGACCGCACTGCGGGCGTTCAGAGCCACCCAGCTCGGCCGGCAGGGAAGCAGAGCATCCCAACACCGTAACGCCTTTTCTGTTCGGGCAACATTACGAGCGAGAACTTTCTAACTCTAGCTAGGCAAGGACATATGCCAATGGCAAGTATTTGGACCTCAGCACTGCAGTCCAAAGGGATCCAAATGGCATGCAACAGCCAGGAGCGTAACGCGGCCTGTGCCAGGGGCCGAATGTCACCCACCGAAAGCTGCACCGGCACCCAAACCTGCCAAGACCTCGAGTGGGGCTGGCTTTGCAGAGTGAAATCTCAAGGTCAGACCAAGGTGACAGACTACGGAGCCAGCCTTGAGTAAGCCCGCCATGCAAAAGCAGACACCTTGCAGTGAATTCAGAAATTAAAATTACCAAGTGTAAGCCTTAACACATCAAAGCAAAAAAAAAAGACATCTTAATAATGCCTGATGGGATGAAAAAGGCAGAGCTCAATAGATGTTTGGTTGAATGTGACGTGCTTCATGTTAATCATTTAGACTGAATTTCCTAGAGCGCAGCTTTGTACATTATTCAGTTGTATTTCTAATCAATCCTTTTTGAAAGAACGACTGAGGTGATTTGACAAGCTACTGCATGAACAGGCTGCACAGAGAACTACATAAACAGCTGAACCGGACACTTCAAATAGCCCTAATACACAAATTTACTCTGAATTTAAAGAAAGCATTCACAGCAAAGTTTTTCCCATGATGAGAACCACTTTGGTTTTGCTGAAAATACAGAGCCTGTGCTGTGCACTTTCTCCTTCCCTTGAAATGTTAAACGACTTTCTAATTTAACACCTGCTTTTCTCCTTTTAAGAAAGTAAAATCTTCCAGAGCTACAAGGAAAGCTGCTGGCAAGGAAAGCTTATTTTTACACTCAGTAAATAAACTTTTAATTGGACAATAGATATTATTCCTTTATTTTACCTTCCCAGTTTTTCCTAGGTATCAAAAATACTGGTAGTCTGTGAGATTTTAAAGTAGACCAACTTCTTGCCAAACACAACTGTTCTCTCTCCTTCGCATAACACTTTCTTAGGATTTATACACATCTTCAAATTGACAAGGGAACTGACCTGTTATTCACTGCTTTAATTTTCAGGAGATGCATAATACAACAACAGCGAGCGATTTTAAGCTCGAGGCAGTAAAGGGACAGAGGAGGGCTAACGGCATGGCTGCCAGCTGGACGCCAAGCAGGCCCTGTGCTTTGGGACCTCAGGCAGTGACAACGACCACGGGAGTTCATTCCCTCTCTGGCTGTGCAGAGAAATTCCCAGTGTCCTGTCGATACATGGGCCCCGCTTTGAGGTCCCAGCTTACACGTACCGAGTTCAGGCACTCCGTTACCAGCTGACTTTTGCTTTCCCTTACCGTAACACCTGCGCGTCACGGATCCCTTCGCGCAGGCATCGTCCGCTGTTCTCTCCATTACGCTGGAGCAAGTGAGGCATTGAGGCTGAGACCAGCAAAGAGAGGCGGGCTTTAACGGGTGTTGATTTCAGGAGTTGGCATGCGAGCACTGATGGGGACTCGGCTGTGGGGACTGCTGTTTGAGATACTAATGCATGCAGATGTGGAGAGTGGGGTTCTCAAAAGCCCTAGCATGCCTGACGCTCCTTGAAACCACCTAGACCACATGTATAAAGTGCTTTCTTTTCAATTAATTGACCTGTTTATTGAAATAGTACTCGGCAGGTTACACTGCTGTCCCCTAAATCAGGGGTGCAGTGGTGATGGGGGCTGTGCAGGGTAGGTCACTACACCACACATTGACAGGGATGGTAGTTGCTTCCCTATGTTTGCTTTGTATGAAATGAAACAGCTATTGAAAAGTCGCATCAGGATTATTCTACACATACATAAACACTCGCTGGCATCTGCAGTATGACACGGTAACATGAACAGGCACATTTCTAGAGCCCGCTCCCAGCCCCAGCGCGAAGGCTGGAGAAAGGGCCGGCGTTGGGCCACATGCATTACCTGCCCCTGCTCCGCAAGGGCCTTCTCCAGGTCCTCTATCCGAGCCTGAGATCGGTGTATTTCTGCTTGGAGCTGCTCACGTGTCTGTACGATACGAGGGAAAAAGAAAAAAAAAATAAATCCAACTTTCTCTAAAAGACAAAAGCTAACACAGGTACAGAAAATACTTAAAACATCAAATACTTTTAACAAATAATTTTTACAGTTCTTTGGCAGAATAAATTTGCAGCTAAGCACATAATATTAGTCATTAATCATAAAAAGAAGTCCGTAAGGATAATAATTTTGAGATTTAAGCCAAGATTAACATAAAGAGCATCCCATTAGGCAGACAGTAGGACAGCAAAATATAAATGGTGATGACAGTCTGCAGGGAGCAGCCTTCCCTATTCTAGAGCAAGGTGTTTAAAAAAGCCAGTGTAATGCAAAGATTCATTTCTCCATGAAGAGAAATGCAAATTATTATGCCACAACTCTGGGCACACCTGATTCCTTCAAATTTTTGATAAGTTAAAAAGCTCAGAGCGGACCCTGCATATGTAACGTTACAAACTGCGTTCCTCCTTGTCCACTTAGTACCCTGTCTTACGGTCTTACTGCATTGCCTGTAATTTTTTACTATACTTGTAGCTTCACGCTTATTTAAATATACACCACCTTCCTACACATGTTTTCTGGAGAATAAATGTAACTATTATTAGCTGTTTTATTCATTAAATATTGTTTTATAGAACATTTTCTTTCCTCAAACCATTTATCTGCTATTTATCTTGTTATTTACAAAGAGAATGATCTTATTTGCTTGCATTACCTGCATTGTTCTCTCTTTTTGTCTCACTATGAAAAACGTAAAATCAAGTAACTTTTCAAGTTGGGTATGTCTTCTTTCGTTACCATTTTCTTTACATGTGCAATCCCTAACACTTCAGAGCAGAGCGCATCCTTCTGGGAGCGTTTGTTTTAACGCAGCTTGAGCATTCAGAGAGAGTGAGTCGATCTGTGACTGCCAAACAGGGAGCTCGCTGGGAGACAAGGGGTGCTGCTACGTCTGGGTGGCTGAGAGGTACTCACCAGTGGAGACAGTGGTGAAATCAGAAGTTAATTCTTTGAATTATTCAGTGGACGAAAACCAGACTAGTTACATAGCTAGGAAAGCCAAAATATTACTGTAATGATGGACTTCAGCTAGAGGAATTGGGCTGTTTGTTTTATGTCTAATCGGGGCCCGGGAACTGCCCGCGGTTGGGGCAGTCGCAGCGCTGGTGCTGCCGGAGGTGTCCCCGCCGGAGGCCCCAGGTTGGATGGTACGGGTGTCTCCCAGCATCGCCATCCTTACCTTCAAGTACCGTGAGTGTTCCTGGATAACACGTTCACACAATGGTACAGAGCCAAATTAAGGCTTCGCAGTTACATTTCTCCTATTAAACTCCAAAGTGTTAGCTCAGAACAGAGTTTGTCCCTTTATTTGCTGCATTCACCCTTGTGTTCTGTGCACGATAAGTCCTGCCAACTCCTTGTAACATACAACATAACCATAATAAACGTAACACTTTATGCCAGATGTTTGAAGCCACATGGGCTGTGTGAGGCAGATAGGCAGGCAGAATAGCACAGGACACTGCAATTTAATTAAGAAAAAGAATCTCAGCTATAAGCCTTCTAAACATTTTATGAGGAATCATGTATTCTTGCAGAATCCAGAAAGAATTAAATACCAAGCATTATATATTTAAGGCTATCTGTCCTACATTTTTATAGAAAAAGAGCTTAATTTTAAGGATTTCCCATAAAAATTCTCTCTGAATTTCTCTTAAACTGATCAGAGGTGAAAAGACTAAATCGTAGTAACGGTGGTTCCTCCCGCCAACCGGCACTTCATGGGGGATGCCGGACAAGCTGGCTGGAGTTAGAGACCCCGGAGCCCAGCCCAGCCCAGCCGAGTCCCCTGCCCTGCACCCCCGGCCGGCAGCACGCTGCAAGGGGCTGGCTGACCCCAGTTTAGCGTGAAAACAACCAGAGCAAGTACAACTGGAAACCCCCATACAATTACAATCCTTTATTTTCATGTAATATAAGCCATTTAGACCTTAACTTCTCGTTCTGCATCCAATGTTCCTCCGACCTGTTCTTGCAATAAGGCGTATGCTCGTTGCAGAGCCTGGTACTCCATCGTCAACTGCCGAAACCGCAGTTCTGTCTCTTCCTTGGCCATGCCCTGGAATTAAAAACACATATGCATTGCACCAGTTGCTTTTGTTCTGCAATGAAAGTAAAAAATATTATAAGAGTGGATTATGTTTGCTTTCTCTAAAAAGTACCAAAATTATTACTTTCAAAATGCAATTTGGGAAGCACAGTACTAAGGATCTTGTTTATGTGCCCTCAGACTATTTCTCTTTTGTCTTTGAAACATCTCTTGCATACACTTACTTCAAGAAAATGCAAGATAGAAAAAAAAAAAAAGATCATTCTCCCGACCTTGGAAAGACAAAAACTTGCCATCCATATAACATACGAACAACTGAATCACCCTTTATGACCGTAACAGGCAAAGTCATCACATTTAAAGGTGAAAATACAAGTTTCTTGAAACACCAAAAGGTTTCCAATCTGGAGAAGAAGCCAAGCCTGACAGTCTCGCTCAATTATTAAAACACTAATCTAGAGTTAATACTTGGAGAAAAGGTGACATCAACATGAAAAGAGCCCTTCATCTTTTTCACTCTCCTTACAATATCCAGCATTGAATGCTTTCATGTCAGGTTGACCGGAATATTTCATTCGACACAAAATGAAATTATACTGCTGCTTGCATGCATAAACTTCGTACTATCTGAACAGGGAAAAAAAATGTCAATACAGGAATGAAAAATAAATAGGCTCATACATATAAAAATACATTCAGATTCCCTGCAGTGCGGCTCACACCTGGTAACCAGTCGTGTATCTTTTATGATGGAGATCGGAATTCTTTAGGTTCCCTTTTAACAGATGTAATTACAACCCATGAAACGGGTGAAATGGCAGATGAAAAGTTGCAGCCAGCATACCATAAAAAAGCTGCAAGTCATTATTAGCAATTTTTTGTTTATTACAAGATTCTCGTTAAACCCAGAAACATGTAACGGTACAGCGATCTGACACATGCTCGGGAACGCATCTGTAGGGAAGCTCTGCAAAACACCAGGAATAATCACTTGTATTTGTATTACCAGCTAACTTTGTGTACTCTGCGTTCAGGGCCTCCAGAAAAGCCATGACCTCAACATACTGGCGAGGAGACAGCCTTTCCTCTGGAGACTGGTGCCTTGTGTGGCTGCCGGCTGCTCCTTCCAGAAACACAAACCTTACCGCTGAAGGCTGCACTCTGCGCCGAGGTCAAAGCGACAAATAGAAGGACCTGAACCAAACTACACGTGCACAAACCTCCAGCAAACCTCAGTGTGAACAGATCTTCCTAGGGTTGTCCAACTTCTTGGTCTTTTTAGACCTCTAACCTACAAACCCATTATAAATCCAATATTTTTAGGATAGAGTATTTCCAGCTTGGCTAAAAGTTGTGAAATTAGCAAAGACTTGAGATCCAGAGATATTGGCCAACATGCACAGTATTAAACTTAACATAAATTTTTAATTTTCTGGTCAGAGGTGACAAATTAATGATATAACAGACCAGGAATTTCATTAAAAATCAGTAGCGAGGTTTCAAAACAGAATAACATATATTTTTGATGAATACCTCTTCCAAGTCATCTTCAGGAGTGCAAGGGGTTTGATCTGTCCGGTCAGTTTGATATGAGATAGAGGAACCATCAGATTCCAAGGAAGCTTCTTCATCGTAGCCGAAAAACGTCTCCACAACCGGCTTCTGACAGAGATAAGGTATCAGCGAGCGCAGCCGCGCCGCGCAGCAGCGGTGCCATCGGCTGTGCCAGCCTGACGGCATCGGCGGGAGAGCAACAACTTCAGACACATGGCTAAACCCTGCGCCTTTGTAGGATTTGACCACATACACATTTGGAGGAACCTGAATTCCAGATTATTGGTAATTTTCCTTCTCTTGGTGTCTGAAAAGCCACCCAGCTCTTTATATGTATTCTGCAAAGCTTTTTCACCCCAACGGTAGTGCTCTAACGACAGTTAAAACTACTCAAATCACGGAATTGTCGTATTTGTTATTAAGTATGATGGTGTGCAACCTCAAACCCCTTGCCTTTTTTTAATGTATTTTCCTCCCAATTTCTCTAGTTAAGGCAGATCACCCTTTTTACTTCTTTGTGTGTCCATCTCAGTGTGAGGTTGAGGCTGTGCATTGAAACGTCGTTGTTACTCCATGGCCATCACCAGGATGTCCCTCCTGTCATTACCACAACTGTCACATGAAAAGTTAGATTTTCAAGAAATATTCTACTTGAAAATTTGAAGTTAATCACCACAGCAATGTTTTTACAGTTTGAAGAAATCCCCTTTTCCACTCAAATCTGCTTTCTGTTTAAAAGAATGAGAGCAGTGCTGGTAAAAAAAGATCTACTGTTAAATGCTTGAAAGTCAATGACGACATTTCAAACGCCGTTTTAAAGATATGTTTAATTGCTGATTTACAAAAAACATTTCTAGATTTTGGCTTTTTTTTTTTTTATTTGCAATGGACAACATTTGAAGGAGACAAAACGTAACTCTCCTTCAAAGGCCTGGTTGCCATTTGCAGGATGACAGGAGCTAAGGGGTTATCTCACATGGACCACAATTCGTTGTTTATAGATGCATTAGCTCCATCACCACCTTAATTGTTCATACGTAGAGCACAGTTTACTCTCAGGTCACTGACATTATACCTTACGATGTCGTTACAGTGTTAATATTTATATTAACATTCTGCCAAGTCTTCATTAACTACCATTTTCTTCTTCCCCGAGCTCTAACCGTTGCTCCTTGCAACCAGCAATTTTTGCATGTTACTAAACTCCATAATGAATTATTTACAACCTGCATGTGTTTTCAGGCAGTGCCATTAAAAGATCATTTTGAGATGTGTTAATTCACAAAATTTGTCTCATCTTAAGACAATCACATACCACGGAGGTCCCACAGGACACCGAAACTGCTTGGGGTAACCGCAGACCATGCAAATGCTTGTAATGCACAATGCAAACGATTCCCCTACCCCTACCAGATCTTGTCTGAACTATCCCAGTACTGGCTATGAATGTCCTTGAACCCAAATTTAAGATTAGGACCCTTTTCTAGACCCTGTAGGAGAATGTCCCCCCGCGTGGCTCCGAGGCGCTCGGAGCACCCCGGGAAGCCAGCATACCCATAAGCATGTCATGATACAAGCTTTTTTTTTTTACCTTAGGAATTCGTGTCATTTTTTTCCTTTGCTTCCTATACCTTAACAGCTTATCACGTTCCTGAAAGAAGCAGATACATGCGTTAGCTGTTTTCAGAGAGCTGTTACGTAAATTAACCGTGTCAGTACTAGTGGTCATTAGGCAATCAAGAAATAGTGACGTCAGTGCTGGCCACTGCCTCAAAATGAAATAGCCATGTTTTCATCAGTCAAATGTTAGTTTTACTCCAGCATCTTCCAAGTTTGCCGTATACAAGCAGCAACTGTTCTTTATGTTCATGAAAATCAAAATAGCGGAAGCAAGCCCGTTGTAACCAACCCAGCACGCTGACGGGTCGGGCCGCAGGGCAGAGCCCCGCCGCGAGCACGCAGGCGCCTTCAAGGCCGGGCTACGGCTCTGCTCTGGCAGGCGAGCTCTGCCCCGGGTGAGCAGCACAGACCGGCTCCTGCCCTTGGCTCTCGGTGCCGCGGCCCTTAGGGCCCTCTGGAAGGTGCACACCTGTAACACCCCAGCTACGCAAAATTCAGAGACTGTCTGAACTCGGCACTTTCAGTCTCAGCTGACTTCTCCAAGCATCCGCAGGTTTCCGGTGCTTCTGAGCATTTACTGCTCCAGCAAATTTTTCTGTTCAGTGGAAATGATGGAACTCTTCATAGAGTCATGTCGATTTTTTTATAGTACTGAAAAAAATTCTTTATTCTGGATTGCAAATACAGACAAACCCCAGGACTGCAGAGAGTAAATTTCTAAAGGGAAAACCCCTATAATCTTTCATTTTAACCATTTGGTAAAAGGATGAGATGATGCCGTGGGACATTGATAATGTGCCACTACCATCAGCCCAATGGCAAATCCTAACACCAGCAGCAGCGACAGAAGAAAGTCGAAAACTTGTTTTGCTTGACAACACAAGCTTTGCTGCACACTTGGCAATGAAGACAAAACAGTACACATTTTATCAGTACATATTAGTGGCTTCACAAAATTTTTACCAATATCATAACAAAGCGGTGAGTCGGGCAAGGGCAGTGACTGGGAACGTGCCAGTATGGGTGAGGCAAAGCTAGTGGCAATCAGACTCAAACCCACGCAGTTCCAACGAGGCAGAGCTGTCCCGGAGATGGGGACGCTGTCAGCCGGAAGGACAGGGTGACCACGCTGACCTTTGCCTCTGAGGCCATCCTAGTCGTGGTAAAAAGCCCTCCTCTCTCACCAGAGCTTTCCTCTCCACTAGCACTGAATTTTTGTCTGGCGAGCAACTTCTGCTGGTACGGCCTTTGACAACATCTATGCTGAGAAAAACACTGTGCTAGCTTGCTGCCTGAATGGAGATGTCAGCAATAATAAATATTATACCCTGCATGCTTTTCATGAACAGCAATTTAAAGCATACAAAGATGAGGATGAAGTTAACATCATTCTTACCATGACACTCTTCACATAGCCAGCAGTTTCCAGTGTCTAATGAAAAAGAATGAAGTAACGTCAGTAAATGTACAGACTTAAAAAAAAAGGTATTTTCTTGAGAAGTATTACAATTTCAGTATTTTCTCTTTCCAAAGACTGAACATGTTAACAAGGAAGGCAAAACCCAAACACAACACCCGCCTCGTACACAGAAATCTTTAGCCCTGATGCTGCTTCCAGCCAAAGGAGCTCTGACATTTTCTCTCGCAGGTGCAGGGCCCAGCCATCACCATATCCACTGGACGTGCTGCCATGGTTCTGCCATGCACGTGCAACGTAGAGCGAAAGGATTTTCCCAAATACTATGCCAGAGATAACTCACATTCAGTTCAATCACTAGTAATTGTAGAAATGCCTACTACGGTGCACTGATGCGAGCCATGCCCGTTAGCTGACAGAACCCCAACCACCCCTTGCTTAGGCTTCCTGTTCTTCTGCTAAGGCCTTGGTCGACCTCGCATGGCAGCGGCAGTAGGACATCTTACCTTGGAGAGTTCATCAATGATATTTTGCTGTTCAATGACTTGTAGTCTCAGGAAATCAACTTCTCTTTCTTCCTGGCTGTGGTCAAGGTCATTTAAAGAGCTCGGTCTCCTTATCGTTCCAGCTCTTTGCCTCTAAAAGAAACCCACAGGGCAGAAGAGGAAAAGATCAGGCGGCTTTGCCAAAGGACAGTATGCAACCCTTCCCTTACAGCCAGCGATACAGCTAATCTAATGGCTGTTCTGGCAGCTATCCTGCTCCCTTTTCGCTGGGCGGTACAGCTAGCTGCAAACACCCCGGCTGTTCCTGCTCCTCAGACCGCTGCGTGAAGCTGACGGTCGCCGGGGAGGACAGCGTGCCTGGGGGGCCAGCACACCACCGAGCGGGGCTGGCAGCAGCGCCGCTGCACCGGCTCTTTAGTTCTGCCAAGAGCTGCGTGGCTTGCTCTGGGTGGGAAGGGATTCAGAGGGCTGAGACCAGTCTCACTTCTCTCCAGGTTCCTCCCATTAGTTTTGATCTGCAGCAGATCCGGAACCGCAGCAGCGACGGGGATGACCCCGGTCCTCCTACATCCATGCAATGCCACAGCTGCTTGCTATCGCCCACTAACAATATTAAAGTGAAAAAAAGGGGAGAGAGTCACAAGGGCAGATTTCCTAGGGGCTACGAGGTGATTCTGGGACAAAAGTCACAGGTGAAGCGCGGTGACTTGTGCTCAGGTGGAAGCCGAGCAGCCGGTGACTGAGCAGTCTGATCAAAACGTGCAAAGCTCACGCAATTTCTTTTCTTCAGAAGTATTTGTTTTTAAAGCTAAAATAAAACATTTTATGTAAACCAAAACATGTTCAAGGCACAAACCGCTCAGTAGTGCACCGCAGAACATCTCGGCAAGCACCGGAAAGGGGAAAGTTTCCTATCGAACCTGCGAGTTTGGGATGATGCCTGACTTCATCAGCCCCGTGACTGCTGAATTACATGTTCTTCCTGGAGCACACAGAGACTTACCATTGCTATATTTTCTTGTGTTACAAATTTTAATTTATTTTCCATTCGACGTAAGGCATGTGACAGTTCTTCATTCTTCCTACTAAGGCGTTTATTTTTGTCCAAAATGGGCTTATACTGACTTTCAGCTTCTCTGAGACGTTTTAACTGAAAGATAAAGAGAGAATTAACACCTCCGGAGCTGTTCTTTTTCATCAAATATATTAATTGTTTCTTTTAACTATCCCACTAGCAGCATTTTCTCCTAATGCAAAGCAGAATTGATCAAAAATTCTTGTTATTTTCCATTGGGAAGCAGATTGTTCCTCCTTCATGAGGTATTCAGTCTGTGTGACAACCATATCATGTGGGGAATGTATTTATTTTAAAAAATAAATAATTCCAGCTAATGCCATCTTAAAAATTCGTTGTTATATAAGCAAAGATGAGTGTAACGTGGCATACCACCAAACACAGAGTGTAAGGAGGAGCCAGCTACTCCTGCGATGATTTCAAAATGGCACAGGGGGAAATATCTCGGTATTCTGGGGGTACGGCACGGCCACGGCAGCGCATTCGCGAGCAGTCATCGCTGCGCTCGGCCGCTGCGCTCACCAGCTCGTTTCTCTCCTCCGACAGCAGCGCGTTCCGGTCCTCCAGCTTCCTGATGATGGCACTCAGCTCAGCGATTTTAAGTTGGAAACGCCGGGCATCCTTTTCATCCAACTGCTGTTCCTAAAACAAAGATCAACTGCAAATAACTGTTCGTAAGCGTACAGGCAATATCAATATTTTTCAAAGCTCAAACTTTTTCTTATCCCAAATCCAAACATTTCAAAGCTTTATACGGCAGAGTGTAACCTATGTGACCTAGCTGACCACTGAAAGCTGCAGGATGAGACCAACGGAAAGTTAGGAGTGAAAATGTAACAAAGTATGCAAATGCAGAAGTATGTATATGCAAATACAAAGTCACAAATGGTAAACTCGGAAAGGGAAAAGAAAATACCAAAATTATTGCAATGTTTCCAATGTATGCCACTGTTGAACTGAGTGCTTCAGACACATCACCCACTCTGAGGACTTTGTTATAAGAAAATGTTATTAAAAATACTGAAGTACAAATGGGGAAAATCCATGCAATTATGCCATTGCATAAGCTCTTCTTCCATAAAGCTGTGCCCCTTATTGGGTTCTAAAGGGTCACTCATAAAGCCAAAGGGGTAGCACTTTATCTGAGTGAAAATGCTTAAATCAAATTCTAAATGAATAGAAATATAGGTAGACACGTTCTCGTTCAGAATCAGAGAGAAGTGACATCTATTTACAAACGTGACAGACTTTTCCCCCTTCTCTAGGCCTTGTTCTGATGTTTGGCAGAAGTTGGGTACGAATCAAAACAAGCAAATTGGTGCCCGTAGTGCTGGTGGCACTTTTGGGAGGTCTAGGGTTCCTCATTCAACAGGTGCAGGAGAGGCTTGGGACAAAGAATAAAATAGATCGGTTTGCTCATGTACAATATTTACACTTCTACTGAGAAAATTAAGGCTGTTGCAAAAGAAATCTTGATGAGAATCAGCAATGAAGAAAATTTGCACACGCCAGATATATGAGGTCAGTTAACCGAGGGGTTTCTGATATTAGCAAATTAAGGCAAAAGCAGAAAGGTGCCATAGTTATACTAAAAAAGCCATTGTGAAAGGGTGACTACAATTTAATGCTCTGGATATTGAATTGTAGAAGAGAAATAGGAGAGAATAGGTTAACAGGTGTTTAATTCACTTTCTGGTCGACTGAAAGCGAGAGCACTTAGCAGCACGACAACCCGAGCTCGCAGCGGTGCTGCAGGAGGACTGCGGGACTTCCCACGCCTTCATGCACCGATTCCCTTCCCCCGTTTCCCCTTGTAAACTGGCCTGGTACATCTGCTCACAAAGTCCACTGTTAGCAGCTCGGAAAGCTAGCACACATACATTACTTGGTTAGAAATGCATTTGCATCATTTGTTGGCAAAATTGTGTCAAACTGTCAAATTAAGGCAGGTGGCAGAAGTATGGTACGGTGAGGAAAAGGAAGAGAGAAAGAACAGAAAAATTTCACCCTGCTAACAAAACCAAACCAAACAAACCAGAAAAGAAAACAACGAAAAAGCAAAAGCTCTCCCATAACGAGGTTTGATTTTACATCTTCAAGGCTTGGCTAACGAACGAGAGCAAGAAATGGGTGCCTCGGCGTTTCCCCTGCACGGCTATGGGAAAGCTGTTGCTCAGGGGCGCACTCATCAAGATTCTGTCACTTTGTGCCATTTTGTCACTCTGTCTGCTCGTTTGTGTAGGTGAAACCACGTGAAAGTGCTTACGGGGCTTCCCGAATGATCTGAAGCGTCTCCTGCACCACTTGCATAAGGAAGTTCCCGCTTGGGGCTGCTCAGATGCCGATCAGACTCTTTGATCTGGGAAAGTTGTTCATCTAAAGCCTCCTTTTGGAGCTGCAGTCTCTGAGCATGCCCGGCTTGAACCCCTAACTCTCTCTCCAGCACGTAGACTGCTCTGTCTTTAAATTTAATCTCCTCCATCTACAAGGAGAACAGAACACAATCACACAGGCAGGCAGCAGCTTGACAACAACAGAGCATCTTACGACCCCAACAGTTGCACAGAGCCGACACCCCTCAGCGTGGAAAATACAACAACGCTCTCTTGGAAATAGAACAGCAAGGAATATTTGACAGTGAACACATGAACTGAACCGC